GCTTACACATTTATTATACTATGCTTTCACTTGAACTTTTGATATTTTCTTTATTCAAAGCAAATGGGCTTAGCAGTAAATTCACCCTCTCAATAAACTGCGATTCTATAATTGTTTGATGCAATTAATTAGTTCATGAAAAGAACTGTTTTAAAGTATTGCGTATGAACTTTGTTTGCAAAATGCAAAGGCTTTTAAAGAACTATAATTCGCTTTTAAAGATTCGTTACTTCTTTATACTTCATCGTTACTGTTCATTAGAGTAATGCTTATTTCAATAAAATTTTTACACGCCTTTCCCAATACATGTCACTAGCTTTTCTTTTCCTGAATCCAAAAATCAGACAAAACCACTTTCATCTCGTTCTTTAAACTGGTTTCCACAGTTCCACGGTAGTAGTCTATCATAGAAGAATTGGTGCCATGAGGTTTCAGTATTAATAAGGAATTTTTGCCCACATGTTACATCTTCTTGGAGATTTACCATGAAAACCAAACGATTTCTCTTACTCCAACATATCTTCTGTGTTGAAATGGGCGAACGAGACAGGAAAATATCCTTTCCGATTTCCAGGAACTCGTTTTTACTATTACTTTTATATTTTCACAACGTCGTGCCACTCTACCGTCTCAGTCCAAGGGACACACGTCAAACATATCACTAATTAAAAAAAATAATATATGTGGCGAAATCTGTCAGTTGGAACATTGCTGTTATTAACAATGTTTTTCTGTAAAAATGCATTGACTTCGACTGCTGAAGCTGACAATTTGCTGTCTTCGTATGGCAAATAAATTCATTTTCAGCTCGTTAATGTGGTCTGGATCCTGCTTGTCTATGGGCTGTCGATGTATTTTACTGTCATCAAATTTTTTTGGTGTTCACAAATTTCTATTCCAAACTACGCTTTATGAAAAACGGGTTGTTAAAAATTAGTCGATGCCAGCAGCGCTAGCTAGTAATTTCTTACGGTGAAACAAGGCAGCGAGAAGAGTATTGATTGCGAAAATGTTTAGTGCTTTATTAGTATGATCAAGAGAAACCCAAAGGACCCTCTTATATGTCTCTGCTTCTCCAAAATGCTGATCTAAAGTTTAGGCCATCTGTTTTTTTAAACGGTTAGCTCGAATCACTTCTCCTGTGACAATACTTATTATATCTTCTCCACATAAATCGCTGACTTAAAGAGGTGGCACGATTCTGATGCAATAATGTGTCAAATACAGACAGAGATTTTAAGTGCGTCCAATAGCTCAGGGTTGAAGATATAGAAATCAATCAAGTGGAAACAGATATGATAAGTACAAGGATACATATGGCATCTCTCAGGAACAAACCTATGGAATATGGTAGCTATTGACATAGTTGAAGCCATAGACAAAAGGTGAAATAAGTTTGAAACGTAGTTAGCGGCGCTTCATTGCACTCTGCTTCGCTGTCCAAATCGATGCTATAAACTAAATTCTATTTTATAGGTTATCTACTACGTCCTTTTAAAATAGTTACCAACAGCAAATTTCTGCAAGTTGAAGTTTTGTAATAAGTTTAATAATCCATTTATACAATTTGGGATAATCTTAACGGTTCACTACAGTGTCGGAAGAAAGCTTAATTAGATCCATATGCTCATATATTATTTTAGCATTTAAAACCCCTAACTGAAACGTAATCGATTGAAAGCACGAGAGAGACGACGATGAAAATAGACATATCCAGCTCCTTTCAGAAACACCGACTTCGAGCAACACACTTGCGTGATAATGTCCAGGACGGGTAAATTGTCAAGTCGAATAAGAGTCTGCAAGCACGTAATCCGTCCACACATATACATGCTTACACTTAAACCTTGTTGTTGCTATGCCGTTCGCCTTCGTGATTCCTTAGACAAGTTATCTTTTTTCTAATGTACGAGATTCTAGGAGTCAATAAATATGTCTCGTGCTTTCGATAGGAAAAACACTTCACTAGAGAATCTAAGGCTCCAATTGAAGCGTACCGATATCGCACGCGAAAATGATGGAAGAGCTAATGTTATTTTTTCTGGAATCCTCACACGCGTTGCTCCTCCACTCCAGTAGCTTTTACATAATCACCTTTGTAAAGCATAAGAGTGCGTGCTGCATATCAGAATAGAAGGCAAGGCTCCTATTACCGGTACACCATTTTTCGTCACAGCTGGCCAACGCACAAAAGATTTGAAAAAACATTTTGAGAGAAGTGCAGATAAACATTATTTAATTTATTTTAAATAGTCCTGTTTTAATTAGTTTAATAAAATGTTACAAAGGAAATTTAGTAAAATTTTAAAATTTCACAATAGAGATTTGTCCCTTCGCTGACTTCTGCTCCTACATCACGTTTTCCAACACAATGTCTTGCAAGCAAACGCAAGCTGTTTAACGATTATATGCACAGTAAAATAAAGGAATTATGCGTACAGACATTGGTGAGATATATTGGCGAAAACAGACCATACGCAGACACATTATATGCCCTATTGCTCCCACCATATAACTGAAGAAAAATGAATAGCCACAAAAACCCAAATTTCCCAAGTCGTAATATTATATACGCGATAAACAAATGGCTCCCGTAAACCTTATAAATAATTATAACTACAAAATGCATTATTTATTCATAAGCAAAACAAGAAAAATTCAGGAAGTTGCTACTTTAGGATTCTGCTCCTTTAAAGACGGAAAAAAAACAAGCATAAAAAAGAAGTGTATTTAGGTTCTTATCGGTATTTATACCTTACTTAAGACGCCACAGAAAACTGGACATTAATGCCTCATTCATATTTTTAGTAAAAAAGTGTTCACAGTGGCAGTAACAGTCAATTTGCGGCTTTTCTACTTGCTTAATTCCAGCTTTAAAACATTAAAAAAAAGGTAAAGGCGTAACTATTGGACGCGTTTAACCATAATTGCATATATGCGTATGTTTCAGCTGTATCGGTATAATAGCTAGTTGATATGGTTGAGTACAATACTACTAGCAAGACGACATCCCCATTTGAAAGCCTTAGAGAAAGAGGTAGCATCTAATTTATGTGGTTGTTATATACATTTATCGTCACACGACAGAATTTTCCATAACTTGTTACTGGCAGTAATAATCCGATGCGCCGCATCATTGAAACGCATAGTTGCTAATAACCCATAAAATTGTGCGAGAACAAGTGTGTGAGAACGAATCACAGATTTACACGCAATGTAACAGCGGAAATCTGCTCATAATAATACACACACGCTAGCCTACGGATTGTCTGGCTGAAATGGCCTCTAACCATGTATATCTGTTAGAAAGTGTTATATAGCCTAACCGTTCAAGGTCAAGGGGTTAGTTTAGAGCCCTTGACCTTAGAATGAATGATTTTAACAAATGTCTAGACCAAAACCTAACGATTATATGACGAGGGCATCCTACTTGTTAAAAATGTACTATCGATAGTGGCTGTCTGTGTAGGACTATTTTTGTATATATTAGATATTATTCAGTCTTACCACATTATTTAACCAGGTACAAAGAAGTCGTAATTTGATTAAAAGTACTAATTTTATTGCTCTAGGTTTTCTCTTGGATTCTTTAGTAATGAGGAATATAAATGAGAGCTCTTTTTCGCTTTCAAAAACTGTAATACTATAATTTTGATCACCTGTAATCGAATGCTCTGTGACCTAATTTTCTTCGCGCTAGTTACACTGGATGGAAATGCTTTATTAATACGGTTTAAAGTGACTGACTTTACTGTTTATTATAGAAACGCATTTCTTGTAAGTACCCAAAAAAATTAGGATAACATTTTGCAATCGTTGGACATCACAGTCACTTGGTTCAATCAAAATTATAAAATAAACAGATGAAAATCTGATACTATTTCTCAAAAAATAAAGTATGATTATGATGCATGCGAAATAATATTATAAATTTTACGTACAACTTAGATGATACCTGAAACGTATCTTACTAAAAATGCCGATTTTGGGTCTTCAATCTTAATGTGTTAAGATTCCGACAACTAAGAACAAAAAAAAAAAGCAGAACTCGAAAAAATCCATGCACAAATGTTACCGGTTAACTTTGCGCACTATGCAGTAGTGATGCAATATATTAATAAAATACTATCATCTTTAAATGTAGTCGATTTTCTATTTCGATAGTATCGATAATTTTTTAAAAAATTTAATTCTAAGTTTATAGCTATGTAATTCTCTTATTCTTTCCTGGTAGCACGCGGTAAAGAAAGTCGGATTATATAACAATGGTACCACGATTTAAAGGCCAGTACTTAAAGATATACTCCGACTGCGTCTTAATGCCCCTCGAGCCAATAAAAAGTATTCACCTGATAAATATTTTGCAAATTTGCCTACCTTATAATAAGAGACACTTGTTTGTTTTCCAGTGCATTAGATATGAACCTTCCATCTAGTTCCACTTCAGTGGAATAATTTTGGTACGATAATTGTCTCCGAACAATAACACTAATGAAGGATATTCGAATGTACTGAATAACGTTTTGACGTAGAATTTCAGGTAAAAGTCTACAGCATTTAACGGCTATTTTATGTTGTACAAGATAATGTTTTTAAGCTTCATCTCAGTTTACAAAAGTTGTAAAAAAAGAATCCTAATTTAATCCTAATATTAAATTGAATAATAAAAAATTGAATCCTAATAATAAAAGCTGCACGTGAACATGCGTTAGAACTATTGTTTTTAGGAAAATTAGTCAACTGAAGGAAACCTATATACAGTATATATCTAAGATAAATCAACATAGATGAAAGACTCATTTATGCATGCTTAATATTTTTTACAAAAAAGAGCTATTTGACACATAGGTGTTGCATTTATATGTTGCTTGGCTCTACTTACGATGAATTTTTCTAAGAGTGTATTTTTTGCTAATTGAGGATAGCTGCAAGCATTCTACCCTCTGTACTTTAGATTGCATACTGTTTGGATGTGATTAGCCAAAGGAATAGGCGAAAAATCAGGTTGTTTTTTTATTTTGATTTAAAAAGTAAAACGACGTTTGCAAACAAATCAGATTTAATAAAAAGTACGAATAAAATTGCTAAGTTACTCGGATTAAGTGTGAGAAAAATGACAATAACAATTACTACCTTTGCTTCTGATAAGTAATATATTTTAGCCTTTCTGAAACAAAAGTCACCGCCACCTGACATATTCAATAACGATTCTGTGGTAAAACCTATGACTCTGTTGTATAAATTGCGATTTTTATAGAGTTTAATTTGTGGCATGAAACATAACATCGCTTTATCGTTCGCAAAAAAGCTTTGACTCATTTGATTAAATCAGACACTGAGCGGAAACGCAACGCACTATAATAATAGTGAAATAAATGATGATTATGCCAATGTTTTCTTATGTGCAGTAATTGCGTCAGCTTAAATGTAGTTGAGCTATCAACTAAGAGCTAAGCTCCATTCAAAAGGAAAGGTTAACGCGTTAGTCACAATTCACCTAAGTGCTGTTGGACATTTCCTATATATCTTTCTTGATCTGCTTATAGTGTTAAAGATCGCCGATATCTTGTTGATGAGACGCAACACATTGTCGGCGCAATAAACTTGCCAAACCAGAGCGTCAATGTAATCTCTTTATAGCGTACACGTAAATTTAACCTTAGTTTAATGACCAAATGAATAATATGTCATCGGGTCTCGTTTGCGCTTTATGAAAGTTTAGAAGCCTTAGAGGCTAACGGTGAGCCCGGCGCGGTAGCTACGTTTGCAGAATTGGTCGTATTGCTGTTTCTAATGCTGGGAGATGCACTTCTAGAGAGAGCGCTGCTAATGGCTACCTCGTGAACTTTGGGAACATTCCGTTCGGTTTCAGGCTTCTCATTTGTGCGAGGAGAAATACCTCGTTCCGCTTCCCACTCGGAAAGAATATCGTCCAGTTTGTAGCGCTCCCTAGAATATTAAGGAAATTACTGTAAATCCCATGCACCTAAATTACTATTCCTTACTAAGTCAAGTAGAAGAAAACTATATCCGCTGAAATTAGTTACATTTAAGTTAAAGCTGTGGTCATAACGAAATACAAGAAAAATTGTACCGTTCGTCACGTGAAACTATAGCAACTGATGCTGCCTCAGAATCGTATTTTAGGTATGTAATTGTATTTGTCAATGCATCTCATCAAAACAATTTATACGTTTTTATACTTACGCTATTTATTAAAGATTTATCAACGATAGGTTTTACTAATTTAACACTCGAAACATAGTCTCATTTTTGTTTTTACTTTTTGAACTTTCTCACTCCTGAAATTCAATGTATCTCTTTTTACCTGTGAATGGCATAGAAATTCTTCACGTGGGCCTCGGTTTTGTTCCCAACGACCTCAGCTATCGCTTTAAAGTCAGTACCATACTTGCGCACTCCCTGAACGGCAAGCGCAAGTTCTTCGTTTGTCCAACGAGGATTTGCTTTTACTATCCCAGTTTCCGGCGGCCGCAGGTCATCTATTCCTTTAGCTGCTTCTTCGCGTAACTTTGAGATGTCCGCTTTGTTTAATTGAACCTAAGTATACGTTTTGTCTTTAAAGATTATTCAACTATTTTTTCTGACCGTAGTAGTTAGAGATAGGCAAAATAGGCAAAGCGAACGTAAACTGCATGGCACAACTAAATCGACTAAAAAAAAATATTCTATAGTTATTGTAGCAACTAATGTTATTTTCGATCTGGGCAGCAGAGAGAGGAACACAGCTGATATACTTTACGCCTCATGCCTTAAAGTAGATAAATTGTTTGCAAATATCTGTACTTATTACACACCTGCCGCTTTAACGAGCAAAGCTCAGAATCGAGTGCCTTCAAAATGGAATCGCCTTGTCCGATGGGGCCTGTGGCAATAGCCATTAGGTCTTGACAATTAAGGTACATTCCTTTGGGCGGTTTTTTCTGTTTCTTAAGATCGACTCCGGTCAAACCGTTGGCGGCGCCTCCTTGTCCCACGATGTGCTTCGACAAGCTACCAGTTTTTGGCAGCATGCCAGTCGTCTTCCAATTTTGATTGCAGTCTGTACACAAGCTTCCCTTTGGAGAAGACACAAGACCGCTCTATAAAGAAAAGAATAAATCTATATCAATACTTGTTGGCTATAGTCAGTTCGCACTGTCTTTATATTCGATCTGGATTTTTTACCCACGAAAATTCGCATCTTCTATGGTGGCCATTTGAGACCTTGTAATGCATAATATGTGAATAGAGTCGTTTTCACAAGGGGCCCCTTAGTTTTAGTACAAAAAGAACGCCCTGTATATGATGATACCGTAAGAAAGTCCTATTGATTTACAGGTTTAAATACTTCTTTTTACCTGCGCTCCACCGCTTTGTCCACAATGGCTGCACGCTGCATCCTTTTCATCCAAGTCAGATTCGTTCTCCGTAGCGTTTCCGCTTCCTAGAACAAACGAGACACGACAGGCTATACCAATAAAGAATACTAACACCCATTAACCCAACTGACATATACGGTACATATCAAAAAGTACTGAGTTCGTCGGTCTTGACGGACAACGTATTTGAAAACTCTTTACTCAACGGATTAAACAGGTAAAAGAGCAGACAAATGCAATTGCATGATTACAAAATTTAAACATTAAGACTTTCTATTTACAATATAATATATGAACGCGAGACTCGGTTCGTTTATCTGAGCTTCATTACCCAAGTTATCTAGGTATTACCGTCGGCCGCTATTGGTATAATAGATACTACTTACTACTACGCAGTTTAACCCAGCTTTCCATTTAATCAAAGTGCACATTCATTTTATTGAAGGTAGCAGTCAGTTACGAAATATAATTCACCTGCGTCATTAGGTTCGTCGTGGCGAAGTCTTCTAGCTTGGCGGTCCATGAGCGACACGCGGTTCTTGGCCTTTTTCCATGAATAATAATACTTTACCAGTGATGGGATTGTTTTATCCGGCAGCATCTGTCGAATTTTTGTAAAGTTTTTTCCATGGAATTGAAAGGCTTGTTCGAATAGCACCTATAAAGTTGATACGTCGATTTAGCCCTCACATTATTCTGCGTATGCTTCGGTTAATTATGATTATTTGTAATTTCATATAAAATCGATGCTTTTAGCACACCATCAATATATGTTGCTCATTTTAGTCTTTTTAGTAGGATAATTACTGATTGAACCCTTCACAAACCTTGTCCTCAACAGTCCATTCATCGGGAAGGGGCGTAAAGTTTGGCAAATCGTGGATTGCCTTTTCCACATCATAGCCATGCCAGTACAGCATACCCAGGGCCTGTTCTCCGTTATACCTGCAAACAATGCCGTCAACTAGTATTTCTTAATCTGCCTCATTTTCTGGATGACTGACTGGCTAAAAGATTAAATGTGCGTATGACCTAAGTACATGTATAGTACGACCCCAATGACTGAAGACGATATTCTCAAATGAATCGTATTAAACAAAGCCTACAAGAATACAGCCATTTTCACTATTTGGGCGCCGAATTGTGAAAGCAGCACTTATATGAGAGAAGGGTGTTTGAAATAATTATGACACAGATAAAGTAATCAATGAGCATTTAGAGCACCCGTCAGCAAAACTTTTGTTCATGGCTGTCAAGATTATTTTGGTGATATTTAGTTGGAATCAAGGACATAATAGACATACCCATATTTCTCCTTAGCTAGGGTAATGTAGTTCTCGAGAGAAACGTCTGAAATATGTGGCTCGGGTTTCCATACCAACAAAGCTTTTTCAGGTACGCTTGCGGGACAGGGGGTGCAAGACGATATCAGCTCCGGGCAAGTCGCTTGATATGCGCTGCCAATATGAATTACGTTCCCTAAGACCACAGAAATGATATAATTAGAAAAAAAGCTTATACTTATGCGCTAGCAAAACCACAAAAAAAATGTTTAATTTTCATAATAACCGAAACTAATTCTGTACCTGTCTTAATAGCGATTAAAAGAGAAAGCAGCTTCAAGATTAATTTGTCAAGTCAAGCACAATTAAGCATATCTTTACTGGACGAAGGGAATGCACGTAGATTGGGGCAATATTATAGTATCAATATTAAGAGTATTATTGCGCTTATTAATCTTTTGTGGTAAGTAGTGTCGACAAATGTAGACGGCTATATAAAAGAAAATTCAAATAAATCTTTCAGTGTAGTTAGAAAACTAATATTACAAAATTCTTGTTCTTAAGAAAAATATACATATATTAAAGTAATAAATGATTTAGATAAACTAACCATATAAATATGTTTAGCTATCTGTCTTTTCGTGAACAAGTACGCGAAAGTCGCAACGAGCAAAATATAATATTTATAATATATATGTTGTTGTTTGTTATTGGTATTGCATTAAATATTAGCTGAACGATGATGTATCTTAAATGATTTTTGGATACAATTAGCCATTTGAATATTCTCGGAATTACATACTTATTCAATAATGTTAATATAACGAGCTCAGAGGGCCATACATTCCATGGCGCAAAAGCATCATACGACATCATCGGAGCATTGAATGCAATGTAGAGACCGCAAGAGTGAAATATTACTTTAGGTACTTCTATAATATATCTATTTTTCCGAACATAAATGTTCAGAAAAGTAAAAATATTAAAAGGCTTTAAAGTAATCTTTGACTTTATTTCGGTTTCTACATTTCGCTCAGTATTCCGATGGTGTCATATAATGGTTTTGGACTTACAGCCCCTCAAGTATTGTTCATGTTATTTTAATACATCACCATTATTGAACATTATATATGTGTATTTGTTAGCCTAAGTTTATAGAACTATAGTACTACAGTGGTTATCATTAAAAAATCAAGAAGCTTAAGATCTTACCCTTAGACGTGTAATGTACCAAATACTCACATATGTATATGCTCCTCTTCAAGTATTTCAGTGAAATAAATGCACCCGCGCATATTTCATAACTTAATGCAACAATGCGCAGTTGGTAAACGTTTGTGACATGCCTTTAAGTTAACTTTACTTTTAGTGCTGGCACAAAAATAAATAATTAATATTCATGCACATTTGTTGGAAATTATAGAGACTGTCATATATGTACACATATATACATGTATATATTGGAACCTACCTCTTTCCTGTTCATCATCAGATGAATCACCATGATGCCCATTTGCAGCGAGCACCATCCTGCGGCCAATAACTGCCGTATTACCAGTGGCCGTGATGGCGAGCAAGCCGTGGCAGTTCTTTGCCACTCCAGTTGTGAAATATTTCGCGAAATTCAAATGGTAAACTTCTCCGAAATCTCAGTTGAACAATTACACGAATACAGAATAAGTTTTTTGCAAAGACTTTACCTAATTGACGTAACTGTCTTCGCTCATAGACCACCACGAAGAGATAGCCGACGACTACTATGCCAAGCAAGTAGTCTGTGGAGTAGAGTGCGAAATAGCTCGATTACTGCGGCTATCATCTAGATCCTCATTAATTCTTAATTATGACACAGGCGTAGCATGCTATTGCAATGGTTTATCTAAGGCAGCTAGTTTGGCTTTTACAGTGATGCGGGAAGAGTAACAATTAATTGCAGTTAAACGTAATGAAGCGCAGGTTGCTATTTCAACAACAAGGCTTTAAGTGGCGGAGCGATATCAAGGTTCTCCTAGATTACGGAGCACCGTTTTCCTGTTATTTTCGCTCCGTTTTCATCTATACACTGATAATGACATACCGTTAAATATACACGCTACAATATTTGAAACAAAAAACTTGTATACACAAAGGACAATAAACATTATCCTTGGCAAAGTAGCATAGTTAAACTAGAGAAAGATTTATCCGTTGGAAAGGCCATATTGAATGAGTGTACAGGCTATTGTAAAAGCTTAAACTGTGTACGTTCTCCAAGTTCCAGTTACTATTTTTTCTACCGTTATACACGAGTGAGATTTACCTTCAGAGATTTGAATGCGATTCATCTTTAACTTGAAAAGACTCCAAATTTTTTTGCGAGCGATTGGAGCCGAACTGTTCTCGACAAAAATATATGCAAATGTCCTAGTTTCTTTTGAGCAATACCTTCTATAAAAGTTGATACGACTACAGCGAGGTCACAGTAATGCATAAAAGAATTAAAATTGTTAAATATAATCTACAGATTTTGCTACACATCTGCTGAGAAAGCTTTTCTCGTTTATCTAATTGTCACATCGTTGCTAATGAAGCTGGCCAAGAAGTTTTATATTTAGCTCCAGAACGAATGTAGTAGGAGTAGACCTAAACAGGGTAATTAAAACGTGTGGGATATCTGCTAACTGACATTAATAAACATACATATATTTGTAGGTATAAAGTTTATGGCCTACATAATAAAACAAATAAAATCTACGTAAACTTTCTTAGCTCTACGTTTATGAATTCGTTCAATTTTGTACCGTCCTGCTGTAGATTACAAGGTATAGACTGGCCGAAATTCCTCAGAATGGTGGTCATCAAGGTAATACCAGAGCTCTTGTGTTTAGTTAAGCGCAAGCTCATTCGAGCACGCGATGGAGGGAATCTTTATATATAAAAGTATAAAATTATAAAAAATGTAAGCACTAACAGAAGCTTCTTATACTTGAACTTTGAATACAGTTGTTGGTAATTGTTATCTTTTTTTAGATCATCTTGTTGATTTCAAAACGCTAGTTTACGTATCTGTAGTACTGACTAATGCTGTAATAATCGCAGTGTCTGTCGCTCCATACATATAAAATTTATAGGCAATTATGCAAGATGGTTAAATAATCAATTTTCAACTTCTTTGTAGGAAGGGTAAGAAGGCACATAATTTTGTCTGCCGGTGGTTCCAAATCTGTTCGAGTGGTTAATTTCTGATCTCAAGACTACTTCTGATTTTCCTTATGGATAGGAGTCCGAATTCTTCAAAAAGTTAACGTATGCCACTTTTCGTGTCATACGAAATTTAAACAGAAGGTAATGATAAATATGTATCTTCGCTTGATTTTGGCAAGCACATGCAATATATCTGCTGGAAAAATGAACTCGTATTCTCAGTCGACCTAAATATCGGACATAATTGGATAATTCCCACTACGATATCATACAAACAGAAAAAAGTTTTGTAGTTCAATTAACCTAACTACGATTAAGCCGGCGCACATCATTTTGGAAGGAAAAAGAAAAGCAAAAATATCTGGGTCGATTTTTGGTTTTCGTTCATTGCTGTGATGCAACAACCTCTATAACCTGGTACGTTAAACGTTTCGCTTACAGATATATATATATATATATATATATATATATATATATATATATTCTGTATACTAAAAGTGTGTTCTCGGTTACTGAAATTTAATAATGTAAAACTAGTTTCAAAATCGCATTAAATATACAAACCGCCACTCTATGGTTTTCGCGCGTTTGAAGTAGAATATTGGAGCGCCCAAGTGTTCGCATGTGATCAGTGCGCGGCAATCGGTTGTTTTCATGCGAGTTGTGATGCGACATCAGCGTTACGGAGCACCGTACTCCTCAGTGCTTTACGCAAACATTCTATAATTATGATCTAAACCACATATGAGAGCCGTTGTCGACTTTGCTTAGCAGATTCGAATCGACGATTATCCTCATTGTTTTATTAGATCACTAAAATCGTTTAAATAAAGGTAAGACTTGGAAGGACGCTGCTCCGTGATTTTATACCTCAAGCATATTACTCCGCGTATTTGAACATTCTTATTTTTCATCTTTATAAACTGTGACAAATTATGCAGAAACTACCCCTAATTTCGAACAAATACACGAGCAATGGAAAATTATAATATGAAGTCACCAAATAAAAAAATATATACATAAGCAATTGGCGCCGATCTAGATTAGCGTGCTGTTTAAGAATCACTTCATCTACTTCTCGGCTACCACTAACATTAATACAGTGTTGTACTTCAGAACCAGGTAGTGGAAGTTGTGTGGTTTTTGGAAGTTGAAAAGTGGATTGTTGGTAAATGTTGGATTCTTGCCGAAGTTTCGCTTGGGTCTTATGTTATTAAATATTCCAAAGCTTCTAATCGTTGTGACTTGCTGCAATACTGTAGCCTCCGTGTGTACTCTTTTGCGTTATCGGAGGAATGTTGTGAGCTAGTGGGGGCACTGTTACGTTTTGAGTACAATCTTTTTTCAAGTCGTAATGGACACAACCGTTTGCAGACAGTAAAAACTTTTCTTGCAAAAGCTGCTGTTTGTGAGTTTTCGCTTGTCGCTGTCTTTACTAGCTGGAGTCGTAGCTAACACAGGCAGTGCAGTAGCGGCCATCCAGCCGCTACGGGCCGTCCGAGCACAACGGATAGCAACGCCGGTCGCAGGATGGTGCTCGCCGCCAACGGGCATCACGGTGACTCGTCGGATGATGACCGTGAACGCGGTAAGTATTATTATTATTTAGGATAAGATATATTAATGTAAGACAGCTTACTATAGTTGTCCTAGTGGCCTCTTGAAGATGCGAATCAGCTTTGTGGGACACTTATAGGTAAATTAAAATCAACAGAAGATTAAATGAAATTTTACTATACGTTGTTGCTGTAAAACATTGTAAAATATATGATTGGTTCAAGTAAATTGTCCAAGTACGAATGAAAAAGGCGGACCATGCAGTCATTACTAAGTAGTACTTATGAATGTGCTCTGGAGTGTTTTTGAATCTTTACTGTGTCTACCAACTCTGGTGAGTTAAACTCAAAACACTTTTTTTACTTGATTCAATCTAACCATTAACGACCCGAAATTATAATATGTGACACGTATTATTTAATACATAGACGTTATCGAACTAATTCTAGAAACATAAATTAATTGGTAAAATACAATTATTTTCGATGGATGTTAATTAAGTAGTAAATTAAATTTATACAGTACATTTCACATAATATTACACTTCAGAATATGCTTGCTAGCCTGATTCGGAGCGATCTCAGTGATTAAGTAACAATATTATGCGCATTTTTGTTATTCCAGAGAATGTGATTCACATTGGCAGTGCATATCAGGCCACCTGCCCAGAGCTTATTTCTTCAGGTACACCCTGTCCAGCCGGAGTGCCCGATAAGGCCCTCTTAGTATGGAAACCCGAAGCGCATATTTCAGACAGTTCTCTAGAAACTTATATCACTTTGGCCAAGGAGAAGTATGGGTAAGTTTATTCTAAAATACACATTTGCTTTCTGACTCAACCTGTTGATAAAAAAAAAGGGCGTGCGCATATTTTTTTTTAGTAACATTGAAACGATTTGTGATATGATTGTAGCTACAACGGAGAACAGGCGTTGGGTATGTTATACTGGCACGGTTATGATGTGGAGAAGGCAATCCACGATTTGCCGAACTTCACGCCGCTGCCGGATGAGTGGACCGTGGAAGATAAGGTTTGTATAGAAACCTAAATATATTAATAAATCAATGTGATCTTGTGTAAGCACCTTTTCTGTCTGCTTCACTGTAAGGCCGCACTGTGTATTTGGAAATAGACCCGTTAATATATTTAGCGTCCAGTTAAGGACAAAGTCTGCATTTTGAGTGCTTTGATTTTAATGTTAATGTTTTCATTTTCGCATTCGTCCTCAGGTGCTGTTTGAACAAGCGTTCCAATTCCACGGCAAGAACTTCGCAAAAATTCGTCAGATGTTGCCTGACAAGACTATTCCTTCACTTGTTAAGTACTACTATTCTTGGAAAAAAGCTAAAAATCGAGTATCACTTATGGACCGCCAGGCAAGAAGGCTTCGACATGACGAAGCTGACGATGGAGGTATGAGAAAATCCAGAAATACAACGCTTCTTTCTTGCCTGATCTTATCCCCTTGCCTCAAATAGATTAAGGCTGCATATATACGCCAACCATATCAAAAAAGGCTGGCGATTTCTATGATTTTTCATGTATAGATTTAGCTTAACGAAAAAGCACAAATGGAACTCTGGCGATACACTTGAGCGAAATTATGTTTACATCAAAACTCTTAAAAACCCTTCTATTATTTTCAGCTTGAACTGATGCATTTTTTTTATGGCACATAAACGGCGATAGTTACTAAATGTTGATTTATTTAAAGCAGAAGAGTTATTGTAATAATAACATATATGTGAAAGTACACATTTATGAATTTGTTATTCAATCAGCTTCGAAATACCAGATGGTTTCACGTATTGCTAGCTTAAAAAAACATTGTTCAAGTACTTTAATGTAAAACGAAGATCAATTTGGCTATTTGTTCAGTTTGACTGCCATTTGTCAATCTAAATTTACCGTTTTTGTAGCACGTACGTGCCTACTTGAACTAGGGTATCTGAAATAATTAGATAGAATATTGAAGAAGATAATAAAACAGTAACGATTGTAATCCTGATTTTACAGGAAGCGGTAACGCAACTGAAAACGAGTCCGATTCAGATGAAAAGGATCCCGCGTGTAGCCACTGCGGGCAAAGCGGTGGGCCGCAGGTAATTATAATATTATGTTATCGTATTATATGTTATGTTATAACAAATATATCCATAAAGGTGCGGCACTTATACAGAATAAAAGGTGCTACCTTGTTCTGGCAGCTAGTTGAAGCAAAACTACATTTTGTTCTATATTATAGTGTATTTTTTGTCAAGACTATTTTTCACTATATTCGACGTCTTGTTTTAATTTTAAAGCGATTCAAATTATCTTGGGATGATAACAGGGTGGATTGGTGGCTTCGCCGAAGGGAAGCCTATGTGCTGGCTGCAATCAGCATTGGAAGAAGACTGGCATGTTGCCAAAAACCGGCGGCTTGTCGAAGCACATCGTTGGACTCGGAGGTGCTTTAAATGGGGTGACTGGCGCAGACCTCAAAAAGCAAAAAAAACCGCCAAAAGGCATGCATTTAAACTACCAAGACCTTATGGCAATCGCAGCGGGACCTCCCGGCCAAGGAGATGCCATTCTCAAAGGGCTCGATTCTGAGCTATGTTCTTTGAAGCGGCAGGTTTGTGAGGTTTACTGTTTGAAATTTATGAAAAATTTATGCATTACTGTAGAATAGTATTGATAGTAACCTCAACTAGATGAATAATACTTGCGCGTAATGGTATCTTAATAAGTGTTACTGAAGAACCTTTTGGTCATGTGCTATTTGATTTTACTGATACAGGTTCAGCTAAACAAAGCGGATATTTCGAAGTTGCGCGAGGAAACTTCTAAAGGTATAGATGAATTGCGTCCTCCAGAGACTGGAAGTGGCAAAACAAGTGCGCGTTGGACAAATGAAGAACTTCTTTTGGCTGTTCAAGGCGTTCGAAAATATGGTACTGATTTCAAAGCTATCGCTGAAGTAGTTGGAAATAAAACCGAAGCTCACGTGAAGCATTTTTACGCTACTCACAGGGAGCGTTATCAACTGGATGATGTTCTCTCAGAGTGGGAGGAGGAGCAAGGCATTTCTCCTCGGACGAATCAAAAACCCGAAGCTGAGCGCGATGTTCCCAAGATCAACGAGACCTCAGGTGCTGGAGCGCTCTCACGAAGTACTTCGCCAGGTGTCAGAAGTATCAGCAATAATAGCACTAACTGTGGAAGCGGCAGTGCTCCAGGGTCACCTTCGTCTGCAAAGATTTCGAAACTCAACTGAGCTAAGCACAGGAATAAATACCACAGAAGCCATTGACGTTGAGGCCAATAAATCCATGGATACGTGGGACATAAGCTCCCAGCTGTGGAGAATGAAGTACATTACGTATCCATCGAAGCAGCCTTTCTGTAAGCACATTATTAATTAAGAACGGATAACCTGATAACGCGCAAGTCGGCGACGTTGTGACATAACGTTTGAACAACGGCATGATTGATTTACATCGTGGTAAATATTTTAATTTTCGTTCTTGTTTCTCACGATATAAAGTGCAGAGTTTTTGGTTATGAATTATTGTCAGAGCATGAATCCTCACCTGGGAAATACATCTGAGAAAAACAAATGTAAAGATACAAAGTAATATTGAGGAATTTTTATCGTTCCTTCCTATCGCCTTTGTTATAGAGTAAACAAGGCTGCAAGATATTACGTCTGTAGTATACATTTTTCGGTCGAAACGGTAGAAAATTCTAGAAATTGATTATGACACCAGGGCTTCTGGAAACAATGATGCGCCTCACATATCTAATTAAGACTTCTTAAGCCATAATGACAAAATTTGCAAAGTGGGCGACAGAGTTAATACAAGTTTTTGAATACTAATTAAACAACTGCACTTTTGCCTATTGAAGTAAATGTGCGTGTGAATCGTACATGCTTGAATATCGATTTAAGTAAAACCCACATTTCTGCTTATATTTAACTGAGTTAACATAGCATGAGTACTTTTTAAGATCATGCAACTCTTCTTTGGGCTTTTCCCTCTACTTCGATCAACCCACGTATTAGCGGTTTTTGTTTAAGGTTAATGCTTGAAAACCGGCTGGATTCCTGGCTTGTGGCATCTAAGCAATAGTGCTTGCGTTTACGGTTGTAACGTTGTGATCTAGTCGCAACGGACTTCATTATGATGTTCGCAATTTTGGCTGCGTCCGATAATACCTAACCATAATGGCTCTATTACAAAGCTATACCTAGCCCACTATTGTATATTGCAGTATCGTTTCTACAGAATATATGACCTCTATATGTACTAAAAAACTATAGTTTTTCTATTAACATATATTTTTTGTAAGTGCACAGAGAAAATATTCCTTGATGCCCCTTCTAGCGTTATTAGCATTACGGTGAATTACATCTGCGCAGCGAGTTAATGTCGGTAACAGTGTTACTCTTAAAAAAGAGTTTGATGTAGCCATGCTTGTCCTCCGACTAGATAGCCGTAGATAAGAGTAGAAGGAGACTGGTTTCATAAAAATCCTTATGAATGGGACTTGTGAACTTAGGTGACCTTAACTGCTGCAAAAGTCGAATTTGTCACCTTATATTCATATGTAGCTGTATATTGAAAAATGTCATCGTTAAATTAGACCATTTGAAGCACAATACCGCTGGGGCTCATTTATTTTTATATTTTTTTTCGCCGCAAATTATTATCTATACAAATTCACTTTGAAGGTAAGCTGTAGCAAAAACGGATCTCCTCAATGGACGTCTACATAATGTATCGTCAGCTTCGACAGGAACGTCACAATACTCCGAAGTGTGCGATATGATGTTGACAGTGTTCTGATACAGACGCGCGTCGATAATGTTGAAAATGCTAAAATTGGATTACATGAGCGGATATAAATCGATTCCATTATGGAGTCAATTTTGTACGAATTAATATTTATGTAATTGTTTTCGATACATTACGGCAGTGCTACAATCGATATAAAGCAACGATTACGAATAATATTATCTTTAGGAGCAGATGTATTTACATCCGTAAAGTTTATCACGGAAACTACGTCACGCTGTCAAGGATTTATATATATATATATAGATATGCAAATTAGACAAGTGGGAGGAATAATACAATCATATTCGTAAAAATATCATTCATAGGCTTCAGATAATATTGGAATCGTTATTTTTGTTCTGCAGGTAGGATTCACAGATGTTACGAAGATGCCCCGATGGTCCTTCCTGCATAAAGCATGGAAGGCACGTTTAGGTTTGCATGGAGCTAGACATTGCAATTTGCCATTTTTGGTGAACTCACTAGCGTCTTTCGTAAAGTTCAAGTGAAGACTACATATAAATAAGATTATTTAGATGATGTAATACGCAGTGCTATAACCGGCATAACTGTCATGAGAAAGTGCGGAACTTTTCTCCCAGTTAAATAAAGTTTAATGATTATAGAATGGATCCTATTATTTCACAGATATCCCTATTTTCGCCGCTAAAACTAGACACACACACTACATAAGCTGTGTTAAGACAGAAAGTTGTACCGAAAAAAGCTACCGTGTGACTTACTAAGGGCAGAACCATGTCTTCATTATTACACCTACGAACGAGGGCTCAACCGCAGCTTGCGCTGGCTCCGCTATGGTATACACGATGCGGCTGTTATCATTGTATAACTGTTTCTGAATGGTTATCTGATTTGTAGGCTTTTTCTGAACGCTTCAAAACTGTATGCGGTCCTTTCCAAATATTCAGGCGGTACTGTTTCTAGCTCTTCGACATTATCCCGGTGTTCTTGCATACTCGGTTCCTGCATCGAATTCCTAAATGCTCCCATCTTGATGCGATTGTGCCGAAATAGATTGAAAGCGTTCATGGTAGTTTTTCGAATCTCATCTAAGGCTATTTCAGAATGGTTCGGCTGATCTCGACTTGTCAACGCAAATTCGTTGCAATTACTTTGTTGCTTTACCTTTGTAATCCCGTTGCACTTGTTCTCGTTCTTCCTCGAGCTTCACTCTGTTAAGCTAGCGAACTCACAGCCGAAATGGAGTCATATATTTATTTCGCTATATCATCCCATCAGTCTATTTTAGCAATTCTATCATACTGTTTCCTGTATTTTCGTTAATTTACTTCAATTGTTTAGTTATCCTGCTATAAACAAAAACTGTCATGTGCCCCGCATCAATTATTTTGTGTTTCCATTATTTGTCCGTTACTTTGTGATTCTTCACTCGTTAGCTTCCAGCGATCGAAAAAACGGGCAAGTGATCTAGAAATATGAACAAATTTTTGGAAAATATATTGACCGTATCTTGAAAGAGTACGCTATATTGAATTCCATAATTGAACAAAGACTAAATTTATTTGGGAAATCCGATGTTGCGCCTATCATTTGGATAGAAACTTGTCCACTTAAACAATTGTTACAGTAGTATGCTTTGCAAACACTCGGTTGTAAAAAAAGTGTCGAAAAAGTGCATCTGCTCCTTGATTTCCGTTAGGCTTCATGAGAAATATTTCTGAATCTTTTGGCATAAAATCAGGTTACCTTCTCATTAGTCACGTGTCACAAAAGTACCACCAGAACTTGTTTCGGATAAGATTCTAAGTTTATTTTTTCAACATCAACTTTGCACTGCGTAAGTTAAGAATTATTGCATGCGCAGCGTAGTGCTCAAGTGACGAGCTTGAGGGAAGACTAAGCAACCGAGCGTCAACTCTTTGACTCTATGTGAAATGTCTCATAAAAATCTAGTTCAGTATTTCGCAACTGAAGACCATTGTTGTACATAAATATGAGGCTTCTGGTACCTTTTTCATCTTTTTAATAAAAGAGTTTCCTCGTTTAGTAGAAAAATGTACCTATATTTTTGTTAATGAAGTTGGGACATCACTAGTTAAAAGTTTTACAATGCGACTCAGACTTTGACAATTCATATTTCCTCCTTTTGGGCGAAACAGTTACACGAATCCAAGATTCTTGGTACTTCAACTAATTACTACTCAACCTATGAGCCCAAAGCTGTGAGATGTGATGTATATGATATGCTGGAATCTGGAATCCTTAAAAAAAAAACTCTATCTAAAGCAATTTTTTATTTCCCGATAGATTCATATACAGTTTTAACAAAAGAAGGTACCTGACAATAACAAAAGCTATTATTTTTCACGTTAAAAACAAATCATACGAGTCCACCTTTATTATTTGAGGATTTATGAAATTTGCCTGGTACCTTTTTTCGTAGATGCATAGAACCTATATGACTATAATGATGAAAAATAATTATGCAGTTGACATCCGTTTTCTTAAGCCCCTAGCACCAAATAAATAATGTTACCATATCCAAAAAAGAACGTTACAATACATCTTGGTTATTTTATTCTGCTTAGAATAATTGAAAATGGTTGAAGTGGTCCAATACGTTCTATTTTACCTATAATTTATTTTCAAATTAGGTAAAAAAGGTTATTAAAAAGATTATTAACACATTCCATTTTATTACATGAGTAAAAACAGAAACACGTGTATTAAATATTGCGCAGCGCTATGTTAAACAGGATCGCATATAGAGGTTAATTAAAGAACCATAACTTAATAAATTACGGCAGTTTAAACTGGGGATGAAACAAGGTGTGCTTTTACTTAGCTGTCCATCCGAGCGCCGCAATAAGTCTGCGGTTCATGTGAACTATGAGAGCGCTGGAATATGAGGACTGATAAGAACCTTCAGTCTTGGTATGCCGTTTATATGCTGTATTTGCTGAAGCCCAGCCTTTCTCTATTATTTGATAATGGAAGAAATAAATTTGTTACTAGACGAGATGCAAGGAGGGCTCCGAGAAGGCGGCAGGAGTTGTAACAGCAAGTTCAGTCTGGAGCTATCAACCAAAGTACAAAGTCAGCTCGTAAATGTCGGTTGACCAGCCGGCCGGCCAACCGACCAAGAGGCCATCTTCGGTCTTTTGTTTTTTACTCACGTTTCCTTTTCAACCCCTTGTTGTTTTCACGCCCATTCCCTGAGCAATAAACAGTCAAAACACCGATAATATAACTACATCGTGCAGGTCTGAAACGAACGGTACGAATTACTGCACCTCCTCTCGGCCTTCTTGCCCCACCTGTCTTTCTTGTCGTCTCAAGTCAATGTTTCTAATTCTAGCTGTTCACTTTTACTAATAGTTACCATTCTTCAATTTGGATGGCAGAACCCGTTGCGGTTAGTTGTTTAAGATGCAGTAGACGATACGAAAGCACTAACATTACTTTATCGACTTTAACTTGCCCTAAATAATAAATGATTGCTGGGCCTCTGCTATTACCATGTCAGTCTGGATGTAATTTTGAACGTACTGATCCAATTAGCATCGTGTTATGGGGTCATTTATGACTGACTAGAAGAGCGGCTGTAGCAATACAACAGTATCAGCAGTAGACGTTGCTTTCACCGCGACCCGCGTCAGCATTTTTCTGCTCTTCTCTCATAGTCTCACTTAATTGAAAGGGGTCATGCGCAGCGGACAATCCTCAGGTTCTTCGTTTGAATGGCGTTCTAAACCTAGCTTATAAGTGAAAGTCTCTATCTTTATATCGTGGTTTGCATGACCAAAAGTAGAATAATAAGCAGTGTAGAAGTCATGCTCTTCTCTGGTACTGTTCCTAGAGCGTTTATTTGAGTTTCATTCACCTCTAAAAGTTCTTTTCTAAGGCTAAAATGTCTCTTAACATTATTGTCTTACAGTCATCTCTGTAAATGTACTTCAGTTTCTATAAGACCATCTCGATTTTATAAATTGTGTTTGTGCACAGAGCTATAAAATTACTTTTTGAAGATTTTGAAGCTAAGTGTAAAGAATAACAAGCACAAATTCGCTGCTGTTCGCCTCCGATAATGAGCTTCAATAAGCCGACTCAAGTACTCGGCGCCTCATTAGGCTAGCAATTATATGGACAGCAAAACAATTTCAAGAATTGCACAGAAGTGTGAAAAGCACGTAAGAGGTGAACATTTACTGAACATCGCCTAGTTCAACGTGCGATACTATACAGCAATGAAACTGTCACAGTTTCAAAATGCTTCAAGTACAGAGGAGCTAATGTAAATGTGAGGCATTTGCGTTCTTCAATTGGCCAAAGAGACTAGTGCTATGTTTCTTTCCATATCATTTATATGTATATTTATCACGCCAGTATCTATAGATGCAAATGCGAAGGTAAAGAGTAATGTTTTTTCCTACGTATACCGTTACGATAACATCACTGAAAATTTCTCACCCTGCTGGTATATAAAGATCGGATAGCTTCTCCCTTAAACTGGACATTTAAACAATTAAACAACATTGAGCAACATTTTCCAATGCTCCGAATATTCAAGTAAAGTATTCTAAAAAAAAGTTGCGAAAAACACTTATGGACCTCACAAAAATCCTGATTCTGAGTTACTTCAAAACGCTTATATACGCTCGTTGTCGTCGTTCCTTCGGATTGTTTTTGCGACAGGTTCTTAGTTGAAAGGTAATGGTATTTAACAATTACATAAGTGCTAACGTGGGAAGCTTTTGCATGAAAATGCGTGGCCGCAATTATAGTCATACAATTTATCTGATTTACGTCACGTGTGTTCTCAACCTCTGTCCTTTACATGAATAGCAGAGCAAGGAGAGTTAGAGTGATGAAACGAATTTGTTGACCAACCGCGACCCCAGCACTGTCTCCTACAGATAGATATCAGACAGAGATTGCCTGCAAAGTCGAAAACATTCTCTTATATTTATCAGATCGCTATT